GTGGGGGGTGGGGGGGGTTAGGGGCAGCGCGGCTTCCGGGCGTTTAAAGGGCCAGCAGAGTATTCGCCGCCCGCCTGCTCCCTCCGGTATTGCAATACGAAGTCAAAAGGTAGAGATTTGTGGGGATCTGAAGAGCAACTTGCTCCAAGTTTTCATTCGCAGCGGATCTCATCCTAAGCGGACCGCGATGCCGGGCGGGCCCGCCCCAGCCGCCTCCCTGCCCCCAGCAGCGTGGCATGTTTTTTTCTGTTGCCGACGCGATTCAAATCACTATTGTAATAGACGCTTGGTTTCAAACTCGAGTATAAAAGACACAAAACGAAGAAAGACGGGGACAATGAAACCGATGACCCTAAAACAGATCTGTGTTTTGGGAAATGGAGATAGGACGTCATTTTTATTCCCTCACATTGAGGTTTGGTGATGGCAAAAACTAGCTCAGAGTAAACATCGGCAAAGTTAATAGAAACAGCACTCCTCCCAAGGACCAGCTGCAATGTCCTAACGGCCCCTTTCTTTGCGTGATTGTTTTCTTACTGAGAAATAGTCTTCTTCTCTGAAATCATAGGCGCTCAGAAACTTTGCTGTTTGAAATATCAGTAAGAAGAAAGCATCCCCCTTTTGCCTGGCAGATTGTCTTCCACGAAGAGCAGCCTTATCAGCGCAGCTGCAGAGCTGCCAATAGGAATTCTGAGCATAACGTTCCACATTTACTTTTGTATTATTACCAAGGAAACCGCACCCTGGGTACCCTTCACAGCCCGGACCCGATGTTGACGTCTTTGCATACAGTTCTACTCTGTATTGAGCCTATCAGAACAAACTCCATCTTTCCCTATAATCCTATAACTATCTATCTATTTATTTATTTGGCGAGGCATCCATCCATTCCTCATTGGTGCGGTCTTCCTCATTGTAAAGTCGGGGGACACGTCTGGGTTTTTAAGGCTGATAGGATTAGACCTAGACATCTGCCTTTATTTTTATTTTTTAAAATCCTTACCCGAAGACATTTTTTCCATTGCTTTGATAAGGGAGTGAAAGGGAGGGAGAGAGAGAAAAACATCCATGAGAGAGAGACACATGGATTGGTTGCCTCCCGCACGACTCCTCCTCCCCCGCACTGGGGCGGGGATCTAACCTGTAACCCAAGTACACGCACGCCCCTGACCCCAAATAGAACTCGCGACCCTTGAGTCCGCCGGCCCATGCTCCAACCGCTGAGCAAAACCGGACAGGGCGAAAACTGCCTTTTACAAAATCCTCGCCCGGGGACTCTCTCCCCCTCCCCACGTGGGAATCTGCTTGTTTCTCAATAAATTTCCATCTTTTCCTATAAAAATAGAAAACCCTCACCCGGGGATGTATTTTTTGTTGATTTTAGAGGAAGGGGGGGAAAGAGAAACATGGGTCGCTTGTGCCTTGAGCAGAACTGGAGCTGGACTTTAGAACTGAGCTAGCCTTCTGTACGGGGGCGATTCTCCAACCACCTGAATCACGCTGGCCTGCGTGAGGTCTGCCCTTTTGAAACAGTGAAAGTGGAATGAAAGAAAGGAAAACGGAGCAAGGAAAGTCAGTTTTTTGGAAGAGAGCTAACTATTTGTGGTCACCTACTACTTCTCATTTAAGGAAGCAAAGATTAAATCTTTTTTTCGAACAATCAATTTTCCCCCGAGGGGGTGCACCGTTCCTGGAGGTACTGCAATACCAGGTCGATTAGCCTTCTGTACGGGGGCAATTCTCCAACCACCTGAATCCCGCTGGCCTGCGTGAGGTCTGCCCTTTTGAAACAAAGTGAAAGTGGAATGAAAGAAAGAAAAACGGAACAAGGAGAGTCAGTCTTTTGGGAGTGAGCTAACTATTTGTGGTCACATACTGTTTCTTCTTATTTAAAGAATCAAAGATTAAATCTTCTTTTGAACAAACAATTTTCCCCCGAGGGGGGTGCACCGTTCCTGGAGATACTGCAATACCAGGTCGATGCGTGGAGTGGACGGAGCAAGCTCCTATTCCATCTCCTAATCCCAAAAATCCATTTAATATATTGTCCTCGGATAGAGGACGTATCAGATATTAAACTGATAAGAACAGATACTACACTTGATCTTAGCCAAAAGGCCGAGAAGCGATACTGTTGCCTCTAACTCCGCGCCAGGCTTGCTGTTACTGTAGCTTTAGCACTTGTGGTTACTTTTATGTCCTAACGATTAGATTGTTTTCAATACGTCATATTTCTTAAACCCAGTTTATTTTTATTATTATTTCTTAAAAATAATGTCAGATTGTTGGAAACAGACTTAAAATAGAATTCTTTACTGCTTTTCCCATGCTCTCCCTGCTGGGTGTGTTTTGCATAAACCCGCCCCTCCTCTTTGTAACAATCTTGGGATTGGTCCACATACAAGTCGTCATTTCAGTGCCGCTTGGTCTCTTCTCCCGGACTGTGGGTTAGTCTCGCGTCCTGATGGCTCGCTGGCGGCCCGTGGCGGCGGTTTCCGTCGGTGGGCTGAAGGTGCGGCGGGTGGCGGTGGCCCCCTCTGCGGGACACGTTTGAAGAGGCCGTGGTTCCGAGCCCAGGCCTTGGAGTCCAAATTGGGATCCTGCTCCATAGTTCCTCCAGGAGGCGCAGGTCCCTGTTAAACCGGGAAATCCTAGGGCGCTGAGGCGGTGGTCTGAGAACTGAGGACACAGGGAACGGGGGACTGAGTTCTCCTCGCATCCTGGCTCTTTTCTGTGCTCCTCCCTGACCTGTCACATCCACCCCGTGGAGCAACAGGGCCTTTCAGAGGTTCCTGATTCCTGCACCCAGGTTCCAGGCTGGAAGAGGGGGTGGGGCAGGTGTAGGTCAAATTTAAATGAGCAGTTCTTTTATAGGCTCAAAGCAAAGGCTTTATGAAGGGACTAGAGGCCCTGTGCATTGCAGTGGGAGGTGGGGGGTGTTCCTCAGCCCGGCCTGCACCCTCTCGCAGTCTGGGACCCCTTGCTCCTTACCGCCCCCTGCAGCCGAGATGGGAGAGGCTCCACCAGCACCGCTGGGCTTGCCAGTCCTGAGCCTGGCTTCTGGCTGAGCAGTGCTCTCAAACTGACCATCAGGGGTCGGCTCCTGGGTTGAGCGTCTGCCCCCTGGTGGTCAGTGCATGTCATGACCGGTCATTCCACTGTTTGGTTGATTTGCATGTTAGGGTTTTATTATATAGGACTAGAAGCCCGTTGCAGGAGGATTCCTGCAAGAATCGGGCTTCCTCGGCTGATCGCACTGCCAAGCCCCTGCTGTCCAGGGCCACAGACGGGGGTCCCGGCTGGGGGCGGGGCTTAGGTGGCACACGGGGGCCTGGATGGCGGCTCACACTGGCCCGCCCTGCCTGCATTATGCAAATTAGCCGCCATCTTTGTTGGTGGTTAATTTGCATATCGTGCTGATTAGCCAATGGGAGGTGTAGCAAAGGTACAGTCAATTACCATGTTTGTCTATTATTAGATAGGAGGACTAGTGGCCTGGTGTACAAAATTCATGCACGGGGTGGGGTGTGGAGGGGGGGTGTCCCTCAGCCCAGACTGCACCCTCTCCAATCTGGGACCCCTTGGGGCACATTCCCCTTGCAATCCTGGACCACTGGCTCCTAACCACTCACCTGCCTGCCTGCCTGCCTGATCACCCCTAACCACTCTGCCTGCCAGCCTGGTCGCCCCCAACTGCCCTCCCCGCCGGCCTTCTCACCCACAACTGCCCCCCCTGCTGGCCTGATCTCCCTCAACTGTCCCCTCCCCCCGCTGGCCTTATTGCCCCTAACTGTCTCTGCCCGCCACCATGGCTTTGTCCAGAAGGATGTCCGGAAGGTCTCCCAGTCTAATTAGCATATTACCCTTTTATTAGTATAGACTCTATATCCGGCCCTGTCAGAGAAGGGACCTGACTGAGGTCCTGTTTCCTTGGAAAGTAGAGGCCTCGGCTCTGTGTCAAAGGTACAGGCAAGGCTGAGATCCTTCAGGCAAGAGTAGGTCATTCCATTCTCACTATTGTAATTTCAACTGGCAAGCTTTCTGAAAAGCCATGATTTTAGAGAACAAGGTCAAGGGTCTCAGCACTGTGTCCTCAATGTTAATAAACAGAAGGGTAAAACCAGGGCCTCCAGGGAGGGACTGCATTAAGGGGGTGTGGTATGTAGAATGATGCCCCCACAAATGTGCCTATGTTCTAATTCTTAGAACCTCTGAATGTGTGCTCTTACATGGAAAGAGTTCCTGTGTAGATGTGGTTAAGGCTTTGAGAATGCATTATGGCAGAGACTGCCGTTAACACTATTTTAAAAATCCTCATCTGAGGATGTGTTTTCATTGACTTTTTTGAGAGTGAGGGAGAGAAAGAGAAACATCAATGTGAGAGAGACACAAAATTGGTTGCCTCCTTCCCACACGCACCCTGAAGGGGCAATCTAACCTGCAACCCAGGTGTGTGCCTTTGACTGGGAATCAAACCTGAGATCCATCAGTGCACGGGCTGACGCTGTAACCACTGAGCACACCGGCCGGGGCACTGTTCTTTGTTGGCATTTATCACATACCTCCAGGTGTCTAAAACAGCACTATTGACGTTTTAGGCTGGATAATTCGTTGTTTGCAGAGTGGAAGAGAGGCAGCTGTCTGTCTAGTGCACTGTGGGGTGTTTAGCAGCATCCTTGGTCTCTACCTACTAAGATGCCAGGAGTTTACCCCACACACTCCAAGTGGGGACAACCAAAAATGTCCCCAGACATCGGTAACTGTCCCTGGGGCAAAATCACCCCTGGGTGAGAGCCACTGTGCTAGCTCAAATAATCTTATTTGCTGGCTGTCTTCGCCTCTTACAATGTAACCCAAAGGCGGGAGTGAGGCCTTGGCCCTGGGTTTAGTGCATTGCTAGGTTTGGGATAGAGAACTTGTTGGTGCTCTTACCACCTAGCTGAAGTGGGGAGACTGGGGGAGCAGACATGGACAGACCAGGGAATCAAGGGTCTGAATCGGATACCTGGTGGGGAGGTCAAGGGGCAGTTGGGTGCCCAGGAAGGAGGTCCAGGCTAGAGATGCCGTAGTCAGTGTACGGGACTGTGAGCAGCCAGGCCTCAATCGCTCTGACGCTTTTCACCATTGCTCCATTGCTCCATATAATCCGTCTCATATGAACTCATTTCTTAGCCCAAGTAGCCATTAACTTGGGCTTTAATTTGAATTCCTTATTTGCCAAATGGTCAAAGTCGTTTGAGGAAAGTGTCATTATCTTTGGCTCCATCACCTCCTTGCTGCATCCCCCAGTAGCCTGGTCTAATGGCTACACCCCTGCAATGTGGACAACTGACCCTCCTCCCCTGCAGTTGTGACAATGGGTAATCCGCTCACCTTTTCCTTGTCTCCCCCGGTTGAGGTAATGCACGCACTAGCGACCATTCTGAAGCTAAAGCTCAACACACCTGCTTGCAGTCATTTTGTCTGTTGTGACCTTTGTTGCCTTGACACACCCTTCACCAGGTGTTCGTGTGGGTTCTCCCGGTTACCAGTTCCGAACTCTGCAGGGCCTTTCTGCGCTTCCCCTCTGCTGTTCCCCATCTTTAAATGCTGGTGCACCCCCCACTATCCACCGCCCCCAGGGTCCTGGTGTGGGTCTTATCTGACCCACTTTCAGGACCAACCCTCTCATTCTGTTACCATTGACCTCTCAAATCCGTATGGCTACCACTTAATGTTAACAAAAAGCATTAACTTGCCTCTTTATACTCTAGTTCTGACACAAAATGCATAGTTGGCCCTTCATTATCTGCAGATTCCACACACGAACTAATTGCAGATGGTTTTTTTACACTTACACCATGAACTCCCAGGAAGTGGGTACCATCACCTGAGGCTCCTTTCCACTGGCTCTCAAGTGAACTTCTCTGGGTGGAGCGGGCTGACCCTCCCTCCAATTGAACCCAGAGTTTACAAGGGTCTGGTCTTGAGCATCCTTGATCTTTGGTGCCCATAAGGATCCTGGAAACAATACTCCAGGATAGAGGGAGACCTTACCCTAAAATTCACATATGCAGAACCCCCAAAAGAGGTGGCAATCCTTGAATTCATACCCATTCTGTGTAGTAATATGAGGACCATCACTATCTGACAACTTACACCACAAGGGCCCAGTGAGGTGTGGGCCCATGTGCATGCTAACCACGCTGATTTGAGCCTCTGGGCTTGGAAAGCTAGGTAACTGCTTTAAAAGGCTCAGAATCAGACTTAACCACACACATATACCCTACCCATGCCGTATGCCACTACCTAAAGCCGAAGCCAGCTTGCCCAGGACCAGATAAAGACTTGAAAACATTGGGTATGTGGATACAAGGCAACCCATTTGGATGAGACTAACTTAAGTAGTCATTTGCATATACTCAGATATAATGGCACATGGAGATCAAGATGAATGTTTAATGCCAACTATTATTCGTTCAACAATTGTTCACCTGAGCACTCCCTTCCCAGATGCCCTAGAAGTTTACCCTATTTAGGCAAACAACTAGATCCACTCAAACACAACCAGAGTGAAGAATAAAAAGAGCCTTTATTTTTAAGGATGGAAATGATTATTTGAAAATTTAAACAGCCAGATTATACAAGAAATTGCTTGAAAATTCTCTTGTCTTCAAAGAGTTGGATTCCTGTAGGGAAAAAAAAGTGAGTTTATTGGATGGGAAAGAATATGCACTGTGAGCTTACAAGGTGCCAACCTTTAACCCAATTACACCTCTAGGTTTTCTGTTTATGTCAGTAACTTTGAATATTGATTAGTTAACTGGCATTAAAAAAGGTTGCTTAGGGTGTACAAATGGTTATATACCCGAAAGTGGGAAGATACCTACCATTATACATGCTTTGTTCTTTCTTTAGACCTGAAAAAAATAAATACGATTTTTTTGAACAATTGAGTTATTCTCCCCTTTCCCGTGTTTAGAAATCCTTGTGATCCCTCAGACAGTTCCTTCTGGAACAAACTTTCCTCTTCTCCCCCAGCCAGCCCCAGTGGGTTCACCTTTACAGGCTCTGGGGCAAGGACAGGAGGTAAGACATGTGAAGGTTTCCTCACTGGGAAATTGTAGCTTGGCTTGCACTTTACCTCTGAATTACTCACCTCAAACTTCAGACTGAAGTTGAACAGAAATACAGATTACACTTCCCCTGCAAAAGAATGAATGGGAACTCAGTCAACCAGCCCTAGGCACACCTGTATAGGCTTCAAAACACACTTTTCAGAAACGAGGTGGTCCAAAGAATGTCCTATTGGCTGTACTGCCTACTCAATCAACTTCCCAGGGTCACTTTTCATTCCAAGGCAAGCTCACAGCTCAGAAAATACCTTTCAGTCACAGTGATCAGACTGGGGCGGTATAAACTCATCACTGGTGAGTGATCCAAAGTACAAAACTGGCACATTTTATATAGCAGCCATAGATTGAGATGACAAAGAGGCTTACAGGCTTACCTCAAATCATTCCTGGGCCCCAGAGGAGGTGCTGGACCTGAAACAAACAAGACAGAGTCAGCAGCATGCACTCCCTGCATTAAACGCAGGCTTCAGCCAACTCCTAGAAAATCAGATTTCCGAGTCTCAACAGCAAGTCATCAGCCGAACGAGATTCCATGTCAGTCATCATATATACAGGCTAAAGGGCATTCTCTACCCGGCATGTTGCACATGTGGAAACCACTCACCTCTGAGGGGACAAGCAAAGCAGGTCACTGTTACCAGCACCTAGAAAGACAAGGCTGTGGTCGGTGAAAATGCCACCTTGGTGTCCCCGCCGCCACCATCTTCTCCAGTTTCTCAGGTGTTCAAATGTTTTCATTATGTACGTCATAGTGAGCTAGTTCGATTCATCACAGAAACTGAAGACTTGGGGGCATAAGCCTGACAATCAACTCACCTTTTAACTCTGGAGGTTTCTCATTAGTATACAGGACCCAGCTGCTCCTAAATGAGATCACGTAATTAGCAAAAGACCTAAAACAGCCAAAGTGATTCTAGCTATGGTTAACAGGCAGGACACCAAGAAGAACTAAGCAAGTGCTATCTCTCTGTTGTACCTCAGACAGTTCCTTACGGAACAGGTTCTCATCCTCTCTCCCAGTTAGCCCCAGTGGGCTCACCATTACTGGCTCTGGGGCTGGTACTGGGTAAGACAGGATGTTTGCTCTCCTCACTGGCACTGGACTCTGCAGCAAGTTGAAACCGTTACACACTCACCACTTCCACCTCCTTCCATGAGTTCAACCCTGGGCAGATCAATGGCGACCTAGGAGGCAAGAGATCAAGAAATGTCACTACTAGCAACGAGAAACCAGAAAGCTAAATGGGTCAATTAGGGCTCTGGTGAAAAAAACAAAACAAGCAAAACACGTTGCCAAGTTAATCACTGGATAAAGGGTTCACGTGTTAGTTTACCACAGGATTGGAGTATTGGGAGAAGCTACTTACCATTTAGATAGGTGAATAGATCATCATCAGGACAACCTATAAATGAAGAGTAAATTATTACTAAAAATGTTAGAATGGAGTAAAATTTCATCATTGAACAGAAACTGCCATCAGAACTCTAACATGCTATCACCTGTCATACCTCACAGAGCGTCAGCATAACAATTCAAATCATCTGACAGTGATATGTGGGTGAAGGGGGAAATATCACACCCCCAAGAACCAGATGTACCACCGGGGCGTTCTCTCCCTGCCCAGCACCATCATTCCAGGAGAAACAAGCAGGAAGGACCATTTGCTCTCCTGGTTGTGGGGGACACTGGAGAGAGAACATCTCAATCCCTCATTCAGACAATTACCTGTGATCACCCTCGGAGGCAGCTGAATCCGTCAGGACCGATGAGATGCTACGGATAGAAAAAGGAGGCATTACATACATTACATATACCCAGTAACAGCCATTCAAAGCCCGTGAATACTCTTGGCCGACTTCTCAGTGCTTAGATGACATCACTTGTAAGTTCAGTCATATGCTTGTCGTTGTATGTTCATCACGGAGTGGCCAGCCCCAGGGGACACCCATGTGCACTCTGCGCCCCTACCCAAAATGGCATAGTCCTGTGTACCCACCGGAGCCCCGCTGCAAGGACTGATCTGCACGGGGATAGGGCTGGTCCCATCCTCCAACCTGTACGAGCTCTTTGGGTCGGAACCATACCTGGAAAACAGCGAAGAGCACCCTTCACTTAGGTTTCATACCGTGCAGCCTCGTCTTGTGCGCGTGCCTTAACACTTCAGAGCTAAACAGACCCCAAGCATGAAAATACAACCCAACTTTTGCTGCGGATGGTGCTACTCAGAATGTATACACTTCTCCACCAATCCATCAGAAAGAGAGAGTTCAGTTTTTATCATCCCCGTAGCACATCGCACAGGACTCGCATGCACGCAACAGCGGAGGAATCAGCACTTACTCGAACAAGAGGGACATTCCGGGTCCTCCAGCGTCCAGACGTGCGCCCGAACCCTGCAGACATGGAGGACATTAGGTCGGTATTGCATATTGCCCAACGCTGTGCCCTCCGGAGCGCCCACTGCACCGGCTGTGCAGGGCCAGTCTCAGAGTTTTTTATCCTCACGGGATTCAGTACAGGTCTGTGAAAGGTCCTCATCACAGAGAAGGCCGCCGGCACCGCCCGCCATCGCCATTTTGTCCTTCACAAAGCCCTGCGGTAGCCTCGAGGCCTGGAGACCAAGGCCAAGTCGCCCCATTTCCCGCCCCCACCCCCCAAACAGACGTAACACAGAAGACGGCCTAAGGCCCGCCACGCTCACGCGGGCATTCCTCCCCGACGGAGAGAAAACACTCACCCAGAACAGCAGAGAAAAGACAAGACCTGGAACTCCCAACGAGGCACTTAAATACCCTCTCGCAGAGGCCCACGGGATTGGAGGGCGGGGCTGCGGCGGGCGCAGGCGCACGGAGAGAGCGCGTGCGAGCCTGGGGAGTTGTGGGTAGAGATTTCCAGACAAAGAGGACGCGAGCGCGCGCCCCCAGCGGCGCGAAAA